TGTGGTACTAAAACACAAATTCTAAAATGGGTCAATAACATTCAGTATTATCCAGCGACCTGGCAAGTGCATTCAAGTTCCTTTTTTTTTTTTTTTAATAAGATTTTCTTTATTTATTTGACAGACACAGTGAAAGAGGGAACACAAGCAGGGGGAGCTGCAGGCAGAGGGAGAGGGAGAAGCAGGCTCCCCGCTGAGCAGGGAGCCCGATGCAGGCCCAATCCCAGGACCCTGGGATCATGACCTGAGCCGAAGAGACAAACAACGACTGAGACACCCAGGCGCCCCTCAGGTTCCTTTTAATTGTGGACTGTCTACTAGATTGTATTTGTTCTAAACCTCCACACAACTATGGAGGCAATATTCTTAATATATGAAGAAAAAGCATTTAATTTGAAATACTAATTTATAAATAAGGAAGGAAGGAAGAACAACCTTTAGGGATCCTAATTACAGTGTTGTGGGGAGAATAATGGGTCAAAGTGATCTGTAATTGCTGACTATTAATTAGCTATGGCAGGGTGCCTCGGTGGCTCAGTGGGTTAAGCACCTGCCTTCAGCTCAGCTTGTGATACCAGGCTCCTACGAACAAGTCCCACATTGGACTCCCCACTCTGCGGGGAGTCTGCTTCTCCCTCTGCCCCTCCTCTCTGCTCATCCTCGCTTGCTCTCTCTCTCTCTCAAATAAGTAGAATATTTAAAAAAAAAAATAGCTGTGGCATACTTTCTTCCTTGTGTTGTATTATCTCTTGCTACTTTGTATTAGTGCCCTATCTCCAAAAATACCTCTACTCATTTGTCAAAAACAAAAAAAAATCTTTATTGAGTGCCTATTTTGTGCCAAGTACTATGGTGGATGCTCTAGGTATGATGCATGGTAAACAAGATAGACATCATCCTTGCCCTTATGGAAGGTATAGGGTAATACTGAGGTAAAATTTAGAACACTGTTAGAGAAATCATCAGGAGATACTGATAGCCTGGGCCCAGGTGGGGGCTGTGAGGGCTGCAGGAAGTAGACAGAGTTCAGGAAATTTAGGGGTGTCACAGATAGGACCTGACTGCTAGGCTGTGGAAGTTGAGAGAGAATGAGTCAAGGATAATAGATAGGTTTTCAGTTTGGGCATTTCATTCATTTATTTTATATCCTACACGTGATAGATACCTTGTTGACTACCAACTGTAATTTTGCTTTTTGCAGTTACCTTTCTGTTTTTCACCCTCTCCTTTTTTTTAATTTGGTGGGTATGCCTGAGGTTTTCTTCCCCTTTCTGTTTTGTTTTGTTATGTCTTTTGTGGAAGACTGCCTTCACCCTACCAGAACCCACTTTGCCTGTAAAGTGCCTGGAAATATACCTCTTCCCAAATGGCCCTTAACCAATGCCTGAAGGATGCAGGAATAGAAAAGCCCAAACCCCTTGCTTTGGGTTAGGACAACACAACCTGTTGGGACTGTGAAACCTACCTTATATTTCAGAGTTCCCCTACAGATTTAACTAATGCTAGATAATGGTATAATTTATCAAATTAATAATTGCATAATTTATCAAAATAATACATACATAAGTTTTTTAAAGTAAAAAATACCAGAAAAGAGGATCTCTTAACAAATATGCGATATCCCCTATCGCCTTGAGTCTAAGCAATATTGAACAGTTATCTCTTGAATCATGAATTTATAGGTTATTTATTGACTCCTATTTTAGTAGATGAGTTTAGCCTGTTTCTCTCCTCCCGCCACTCTCCCAATATAGTTACATCAAAATATTAAATCAATATTCAGTGTTTCATTATTATGATTATATAAATATGCTAAGCCAGGTCATTAAATTTTTGCAAAATTTTTCATTTCTGAAATTAATAATTACCTCATATTTCATTTCTTTAGTTTTCTTTGAGCTAAGGGCTAAGACGTCTCAACCTCTCCAACATGTCTAAAATTTCTCTCAATGCAGTTTTCTAAACAGTTGAACTTGCTATGAGATATTATCAATTCTACTTTTTCCTATGTATTTTCCTCATAGTGACCTCCATTACCTGGTGTAGTATAAACTATGTATTGCCCACCAGTTGTTATGGAACTTTCCTGTCATCCTAGGAATTCCTCTTGTTTCTTCTGTTAGATTCACTGTTTGCTAGACACTACTTTTTCCTTCTTGGTTGACTCTCTTGTTTTGATGGAGCTCAAAATCTAATATCCTCTTTGAAAAGAAGGCACATGTAAAGTACATTTTTACTTTAGTTCACATGTCTAAGGATAGCTTTATTCAACCATCATCATTGTCATCATATCAATTATGATTGATCATTTGACCAGGCATTCTAGATTGAATTCTAAATTGGAAATGATTTTCACTCACAATTTGAAGGCATTCTTCCATTGTCTTCTAGTTTTCAATATTGTTCAGAAGCTATTTTTTTTTAAAGATTTTATTTATTTATTTATTCATGAGAGACAGGGAGTGAGAGAGAGAGAGGCAGAGGCAGAGAGAGAAGCAGGCTCCCCACTGAGCAGAGAGCCTGATGGAGCCCTGGCTCCATCCCAGGACCCTGGGATCATGACCTGAGCCGAAAGCAGACGCTCAACCATCTTCAGATTTTATGTATAACACACTGAACTTAAAATTAAAAACCTTGTTCTTCAAATTCTAAAATGGGTCAGTGACATTCAGTATTATCCAGCGACCTGGCAAGTGCGTTCAAGTTCTTTTTTTTTTTAAGATTTTCTTTATTTATTTGACAGAGAGAGACACAGTGAAAGAGGGAACCCTGTTCAGAAGCTATTTTAAGATCTTTTGCTCCTAGGAGTCTGAAGCTTCTGCAATATTATGCCTTGGGTAGGTTTTTTTCTGCATTCTTTTTTTCATTATACCAAACAATTTTGGGGATTTTTTTTACTCTGAAACCTCTGAGAATTTTCAATTCTTATTATTTGTTTAATAATCACACACACACACAATTTTCTCTGTTCTTTTTGTAACTCTTGTTAATCTGTTACAGGGTCACGACTGGTTCTCTAATTTCTTTTCTTTTCTCTCATTTTGTCTATCTCTTTACCTTTTTGTTCTTTCTAGAAGAGTTCCTCACCTTTCTTTTTTAACCTTTTTACTGATTTTTTCTGACTATCCATTTTTAAAATCTAAGAGCTCTTATTTTCTATTTCATTTCATAATATCCTTTTTTATATATATGTAAAGATCTGGGGCACCTTCTGACTCTTGATCTCGGGGTCTTGAGTTCAAGCCCCACCTTGGGTGTAGAGATTACTAAAATAAATAAAACTTTAAAAAAAATAAAACAAAAAATAAAGATCTTAAGTTTTCATCTTTCTTTCCTTCTCTGTTTCTTCTGAGCTTATTTATTTTGCTCACTTGGTACAGTTTTTCTCTTTAATGTGAGAAGCTTCCCCTATACATCTGGCAGTCCCTAAGCTGTCTGTCCAACATAAGAGTAAGCTGTTAAGCTAATTGAAAGCTCTGTGCTCATGAATGAGACTTGCTGACTGGTGGCCTTCATAGTAGGGCAGTTAGGTGCAGTTGCTTTTGGGGTTATGGAACTTGTTGCTGAAACTCATCATTTTCTCCAGAAAAGACCCTCATTCCTGACTGATGGGTATGGATATAAGGCCATCTGTCAGCATTTTGGAGCTAGATGAGGGAACAGATTCCATTATACAGAATAATTTTCCTATTTTTAGTTCCATACATCACTCTGCCCTTCTTTATGCCCAATGTCCCTAAATCCAGAATTTCTCTTATTTAAATTGTCCAATCTCTTGTTGAGGTGGGGAAGGGGTAGTTGCCTGATCACACTGAGGGGGTATCATTCAGTAAGCACTTTCTGTCCCTACCTCATGCCTGCCACCATGTTATAGCCTGTCCTCCCCATTTTCTTTGTCTGGTTAGTCTCAGCCAATCTTCCATGCCTGGCTGGAGTCAAGATTGCCTTTTCAGCCTTAGCCTAAGCAGGCTGTCCTGGAATGCATGTGGTTCTTTCAGTGCCTCAGAAGTTACATTACTTCTGTGCCAAGTCCCTCAGGAATGTCACTGTTTTAAAAAAAAAGATTCCAAAGAGTTAATATGACATGCAAGATTATCACATCACTGGCCCCATACCCATTTTTTTAAGTACCTAGAAAGGTTATTCCAGGCAAAGTTGTGTTCCCAGAGCCTGGTATTTGTTGTTGCCAAAGACCACAGCAGATAGTATATAGCATCAGGGTAAACAAAGCTGAGTGGAGAAAATACTCCTTTATGGTTCAACAAGATGTTATTTACTGTCAAATTATAATCAGAAGTCTGATTGGTAAGCACAGAGTCAGAACAAAAGGAATTTATTTTACATAAACTTGTCTCAGTCATCAGGCTACAACTGTACCTACCAAAAGCTATGCATATTATTAGATCAGATACTTGAGTCAGCTTGACGAGGTCCCTTCTTCCCAGAGCATGTTTCATTTGACTTGAATTGGGTGGTTGACCTTTCAACCCTTTCTAACCCCGAGATTCTGTGAATCTGATGGGCTTAAATTTTATCTACATTACGGAGTTTCTTTGTTTTTCCATGAAGTTTCACATTTCTTTCTGCAATTGAAAATGGAATAGAATTGCCATTACTACTTGCACATGTGTGCTGCTTCAGAGCCTGGAGCCTTCTGGGACTTGATAAGGTAAAGCTGCTAAGCACATAACAGCACAGTTTCCCCATCTGGCCTCTCTGATATCAGCCAACTCCCCATTTGGGGGAAGCTAGAGTCAGTCTTTCAGCTTTAGGTAGGTGTAACTGTTCACAGTTCTAGTGTCATGGACTGCTGCTAAGAAATTCATTTTCTGTGTATCACAGAATGAGAACTACATAGGACCAATATGAGAAAAAGGCATATCCTGCTTAGAGCAATTTGGTTTTGGTCTTTTTTCGGGGAAAGTAATAATCACAGTCAAGTTAGAGAGCTATATGAATGGGTACCAAGCACTGACCTGTCACGGACTTTCTTCCTGCAGAATTCCCAAAAAGTAACAGAAATACCTTTGACAACTGTTGTGACCTTTGTGGACATTACCCAGAAGCCAGATCCTCCAAGGGGCCAACACAGAATAGACTGGAAACTGCCATTCGACTTCTTTTTTCCCTTCAAAGTGGCATTCAGCAGAGGAGCAGACTCTCAGAAAGGCTCAGCTTCTCCCATCCTTATCCTGTGTCTCTTAGTACTTGGAGTTCTCAAGCTAGAAACCAAGTGAAACAAGAAGAATCAGATTTTAATTTTCCCTATGGGAAGTTCTGAGACAGCCTACTTATCTTGGCTAAGTAGGTCCATACCTGCTCGTGACCAGAGGAGAGTATTTTAAGATAACAGAGGACCTAACTGAAGGAATGGTTGTATGTGAAAGAAGGGATTTTTCGAAAGCAATAAAAATAGCTTCTTTGTCATGGCTCTCTGCTTAGGACTCTGCAGACCACCAAGTACACATTAGGTTCTTCTCAAGCTAGGAAGAACACAAAGAGCCCTTCCTGCAGCCCTTCAGGTGGTGTTATGCCTCACTAAAGTTTTGCAAGATCTTCATCCATCTGCTCACAGGCACAGTTAGACCCAGCATAGAAAGGAACATGTTCTTGCTGTCCTCTGGATGAACTTGGGAATAGATGCCCTCTGGACTTAAGAGGAGCTGACTGTTGGGAACAGAAAACTGCTGGCTAAGGATTTCATCTGGCTTCTCTCCACTCCCTTGGGCCACACTCTGCTGGAGCATGAGTGAGGAGAGCAGTTCTTTCTAGTCAGTTTCCAAAATGAATGTGGAATCCCAGCCCCCCCTTTTTACTAGCAAATGATCCTACCAGTCATTTCTGTATTTTTCCTCCCTTCCATTGTGGTGAGAGAAATAAAACTGATTGAGAGCTTTGTTGTACTAATTCCAGCAACCAACAGAAGCTGACATGTGATCACCTTATGATTATTTATCTATGTGCATGAGGCTTAAAAAGGGGGGGAAAAGCCTTTCATACATAGCACAATAGCATTCAAATCTAAGTACTTGGGTTCTTTTCCTGGGATTGGAGCTAACATAGCAGGATAGGTAAGATTGGGAGGGAGCGTGGAAGGGTGGAGGTGATACCAGGAGCCAGAGGGTTGGGATCCTAAAGTGACTAGTAGAAACACTGAATGGGCAAAATAGGTGCTAAGACGGGGTAAGTAACATGGGAGCTCATTATATGAGGACTTGAAAGCCAGGCAGAGAGAACTGGGAGATAGTCTGTTTTTTTCCACAATGTATTAATTATCTGAATCTAGAACTGCCTTTTAATAAAACATACACTTAGTTGTAATAATCCTACTTCATGAGCAGAAAATGCTAATTGTAAAAGCCATCTCTGACAGGTTTATCATTTTGCCCACTCCAAAGTACCCTGAAAGTAACCTACCTCCCTGGAGGAAAGTGGCAAAGTTCTTGTAGCAGTTACTACCAAACGAGGAGGAAGTGTTTCTGTACAGGGGAGATTCTGCACAGGGGGAGTTGGGAGCTGGGAAGCTGATGGCATGGTTCCCACTAGAGTCCATTATGTAGATGTTAATGTGAATTCAGCAACCCTGCCTCCAAAGAGGCCTGTACCAAAACAGACCACAAAGCTACTAGAGTATTTAGGGTCTCCAGTTTGGGCTTCTTAAAGGGGAATAAACTTATGTGACAACCCTATATTACGGCGTAGGAGACATCTAATTTACTCCCAACAGCCTACAAGTCCTTCTTAGAATCTGGTCCCTCTATTTCTTCATTTATATGCTTATTCCCATGCCCGGGTGCTATGAAACTATTCTGTGCCTCTACCAAAAAATTTTAAATATAACTCATACACCATAAAAGTCACCCTTTTAAAGTATACAATTCAGTGGTTTTTAATATATTCAGATTTATGTAACCATCACCACTAATTCCAGAACATTTTCATCACCCTAAGAAGAAAGCCCATAGTGATTGGCAGTCACTTCCCATTTCCCCTTTCTCTTGGGTTCCTAGCAGTTACTAATCTATTTTGTCTCTATATAAATTTGCCTGTTCTAGACGTCTCATATAAATGGAATCCTACAATATGTGACCTTTTTTGTCTGTACTTCTTTTGCTTAGCATAATATTTTCAAGGTTCCTGTTGTAGCGTAGATGAATAATATTCCAGTGTATAATTATACCACATTTTTATGTATTTATCAGTTGATGGACATTTGGGTGGTTCCTACTTTTTGGAAGTTATGATTAATGCTGCTTTGAACATTCGTGTACAAGCTTTTGTGTGGACTTAGGATTTTTATTATTTTTGAGTATATACCTAGGAGTGGAATTTCTGGGTAATATGGTAACTCTGTACTTAACTTGTTGAAAAACTGCCGAAGTACTTTCCAAAGTGGAAATCCCAGCAGCAGTGTGTTAGTATTCCAATTCTCCACATCTTTGCCAACACCTGTTATTGTCTTTCTTAGTTTAGCCATCCTAGGGGGTGTGCAGTGGCATCTCGTGCTCTACCATGCCCTTTTAAACCCCAGAAATCAGCATATCTGTTCATCTAAGACAGGAATACCTCAAGTGTTCTCTTCCTCTCTACCTCTCTGCTAATTTAATTAGCTTGTAAACCAAATTTCCATTACAAGACTACTTAATATACCTTAAATAAGATTTTATGGTTATCTCTAGTCACTCTCCTTGTAATAGACCTTCAATACATTTTTTAAACCATCTATAGAACAATGCAGTCTTCTTAGTTCCCTCCCTTTTATCTATACAGGTTATCAGCTCTTTGACAGTAATTACTGCACAAAAGGTCTGTATTGTAACCATGTATTCAATTTAAGGAACAAGTTTTATTGTAAAGGGGTATGTACAATTTGAATAGAATGAAATTGAAATCCTAGGCAGACATTGCAGGTGTGGAGAAACAAGTACTATCAAAAGCTTTTTGGGTAATTATAAACTGGTAGAAACTTGAGAGAGAAGGGCAGATAACTATTTGATAATACGTATCAAAAACCTTAAAAATGTTCACAAACTTTGTTCCAACAATTCCACTTATTGGACATTTTCAAGGAGGGAAAAATATCCAACAGTGGAGAATTAAATATAATATATCCATAAATTGCAATGTTGTACAACCACTGAAAATTGAGTAGACTTACCTTAATTACAATATGGTCTATTTTTAAGTGAACACAACAACTACAAAGTAGGCATATATTCTGTGATCTCATTTTTTTTAAACAAAATCTATACGTGTACACTTAGGCAAACAAAAAAGCCTAGAAAGCTAGCATGCCAAAATGCAGATTTTTTAAAAAAATAATAAGCATTCCTGATTTTTATAATCACAGAAAATAAAACTATATTTTGAAGAAAATATATGCTCTCCAAAAGGAACCTCCCTGTTCAGTGTATGTAAGAATGTTCTATATTTATGAGTAATTTCCCTTTTCTGTTGATATATTTATTTGGGATTCTCAGCCTGTCTTTGGAATCAGGGGTTCTGAAATGCCAGTCACATCATAATCTTCTGTGGTACTTTATAAAAATGCTGATTTCTGGGCCCTACCCCTAGAGATTGATTCACTGGTGGGAAAAGGAGACTCTAAGAATCTGTATGTTTAAAAGGCTTTCCTGGTACTTCTGATGTGCAGCCTGGGTTGCAAAACTACAAAGTGATGTTGCATAGTGCAGCTGAAATGGATTTCATTGAAAGCATCTGTCCTATCATTGCCAAGTCATGTGATATGTCCACCAGCCTAGCCTACTGCCTTTTCTCTAAGAATTCCCATCACTCAGAGTTCTGCCAAGGGTGGGCCCAGCCTCCAGGCTCACATCACCTGCATGATCCTGCCTCTCCTTGTCACAGCTGACCAGTCCAAACGTGGAGTCCTGGACCAAGTTAGGCCAGTAAGATTTTTCTCTCCTAGGACTTTGGAACTGGGACTAAGACGGGAAGTCAATCAGGAGCCAGCACTAACTAAGGATATTTGAGGGCTGAGGAAGCCATTTTCCACCAAGTGTTCACTGATGAAGAGCCTACCTTAAAAGGGGGAAAGAAAACAGATGTGCAGAGAGAAGTGTAAATAAGACATGCAGAGAGGAAGGGTAGTTTTGGTTCTCAACTTCCAGTGCCTTGTACCCATCTCTCATGAGATTCGGTTTTACCTCTTGCTCTTGGAGACTGTAAGTTACTCCTTCTAGTAAATTGCCTTATTTGAATGTTTATCATCAATCAAAGAACCCGAAACTAAGATAACTTAAACCAATACTCCATAGCATGTAAAAAAGTAGTCTTCAATCCTGTATTCCTATAGCCCAATTCTAAATAATCCACTTTCTATGTGACTTTCTAGTCATGGCCAGCTCTATTTCCATTTGCTGAGACAAAATTTAGGTCCCTCCAATAAAAAAAAAAATCATTTTTAAAATCATATGGAGGAAGGATACCATGGCTATTTCTTCTATTTCTGCAGAGACACAAACTAGCTTTTATTTCTGGATTTGGTTTCTCCCAATCCACAGTCACATATCCCACTCCTTTCTCCTCACTGGTGGGGTAGAATATTAATAGTAAAATAGTAATAAAAAATAACAGTAATAAAATAGAAAATGCAGTGTTAAAGGATTTCTATATTTGTTCCTCTTAACCCCTATGGAATAGACAAAGGCCGTGTTATTAGTCCATTTCTTATTTGAGAAAACTAAACCCAAAGGAATTAAATTCATTCATTTATCAAATATTTATTGTCTATTATGTGCCAGGAACATACCTCTCTACACTCAAGAGCTTATATTCTAGCAGGGAAGGCAGACAAGCAATTACCTAAGGCGATGTGTGGTTTAAGAGAAGAACTAGGAAAGGATTTCCCAAGTGGAGAAGGCCTGTCTCTAATGGCTTTGGCTATCCCCACATTTACCTAGTTTGTTCTAAGTTCATGGTGAGAATCTTAAAAGCTGAAGTACCAGATGAAACTTACTGGAAAGCACTTCTATTACTTTTGTATCCTCCAGCCTACCTCAAACCCAAACAGCTGACAACTCAACCCATGTTCAGTGTTCCCATCCTTCACCTCAAAGAACTCCCTTCATCTGTTTCCTAACTTAATATAGTACAACATCACCAGATTTGCAGGTATCCCTCTTCTTCTCTTACCACCATCCCCACCAACTTTGAAGTAGTAAGTGATGTCAGCTCTCCCCACTTTATGCTCCCCATGCCCACTGCTGGAGCCTCCTTTCCAGTCATCATTTCTTAACTTGGGCCTTTGCACTAGGCTAAACAGCCCCCTAGCTTCTACCCTTCTTAACTGATTTCAGACACACAAATCTCATCATTGTGCCATTCCAGTACTTAAAAGTCATGGTTCTCTATCTTTGAGGTTGACAAATTTCAAGCTCTTTGGTGTGGCACAGAAATCCTCTTGCAAGGTGGCCCCCCACCAAACACCTCTCCTGTCATGTCCCGCATGCAGCCTCTTCTCATAGGACCATCTGATGTCTTTGCTTATTGCAGCTTCTCTTCCTCATATGATCCTGTTTCCCATTTCTAGGTGAACGACTTATTTTTTGTCCTTCAAAGTACAATTCAAATGTCTACTCTCTTTTTAAAGCCTTGCCTGAATCCCTAGGCACCCCTTCCTCTAGCATTAATCGTATTGCATTGTAATCATTTGCTCACATATCTGTCTCTCCCATAAGGCTGTGAATTCATTTAGGGAAGGGATGATGTCTTCTTTCACATCTAGGGAATGCCTGGCACGTAAAGTAGGCAATGTTAATGAATGAGGAAATGAATAAGAAGGCCCAGCAATGTTCTCAAGAAGAGGAAGACACTTTGTCACTGACCTCCAGTCAAGTGCTGTGCAGCTCCCCGCCCCCACACTTGCTCAGCCCTGCCTGTGCCTATACAAAACGTGCCCT